TCTCAGATCAGGGTGGGGGTTCCCTTAGGGCGTGGGGTGGCCTGGGCGAGGGGCCTGTGGTGGTTTGCAGGTCAGCCACATCCCCTGGCGACCCAAGAGGAGGCCCTGGTATCTGGAATTTATTTACCTTCTACAATTGAAACTTTGTAGCCTGGAGCAGAGCCAAGCCCCTGTTCACTCAGGCTGCCACCATTTCTGTTTGGTTTTATGTATCTTCCATAATTGAAACTTTATAGCCTTGAGTGGAGACCTAGGCCGGTCAGGGCAGGTGGAAAGCTTTGCTTCCTTCATTGCTGGGGGCAGCCCTAACCTGTTCTTTCCAGCTCTGTGGCTGCAGCCATTTTTCTTGTGATTTATCTTCTATAATTGAAACTTTGTATCCTTGAGTGGAAGCCTGGGCCGGCCAGGGTGGGTGGAAAGCTTGGCTTCCTCTATTGTTGGGGAAACCCAAGCCTCTCAACTGTTCTCTGTGGCTGCAGCCATCTTGGTTGGGATTAATTTGCATACTCGCTCAGATAGGCGGATGGGTGTGGCTGATGGGTGTGGCTTGAGCGAAGTGATGGTTAATTTGCACATTACTAGTTGGTCCGAAGGTTGTGGGTTATTGTTAAGCTAATTTGCACATTACTCTTTTATTAGGTAGAATATATATATATATATATATATATATATATATATATATATTTAAAATTAGCTGACACACATCCATCACCTCACATAGTTATCTAATTTTTTTAATGACAAACTTTTATAACCAGAATATTTTTTTAAAATATATTTTATTGATTTTTTACAGAGAGGAAGGGAAAGAGATAGAGAGCTAGAAATGTCGATGAGGGAGAAACATTGACCAGCTGCCTTTTGCACATCCCCTACCAGGGATGGGCCCGCAACCAATGTACATGCCCCTGACCGGAATCGAACCTGGGACCTTTCAGTCCGCAGCCAGATGTTGTACCACTGAGCCAAACCGGTTTCAGCCAGAATATTTTAAAATATATTTTTATTGGTTTCTGAGAGGAAGGAAAACAAAGAGGGAGAGAGAGATAGAAACATCAATGATGAGAGAGAATCACTGATCAGCTGCCTCCTGCATGCCCCTCACTGGGGATTGAGTACGCAACCTGGCTATGTACCATTGACCAGAATCAAACCTGGGACCCTTCAGTCAGTAGGCAGACATTCTATCCACTGAGCGAAACCAGCGAGGACTAACCAGAATATTTTTTTAAAAGAAGAAGAAATTCTAATTTTGTTTGCGACTTTTGTAAGATTGTCACAAAATTCAATCAAATGAGTAGCAGTATTACAGACTGGTGAAACCAGGGCCATTTGCTTTTCTTTGAAACCCAGAGGCTGGGATTCCCAGGCACCAAAACCTTTGGTTTCCTTCCTCCTTGCAGAGTGGAGTGCGTATTTTATTGCTGCCAAAAGTAGAGATTCTAAACTCCTTGGCCTGGCAGTCCACACCCTTCCCTATCTGGCCAAACATCCTTTTTATGGCATTATCACCCTTCACTCCCACTTACAAAGACTCAACTCTGACCAAAAAAGACATAAAATTCATATCTTTAAAATGTTTTTCCATATACACTTTTAAAAATTGAGATAAAATTCACTTAATATAAAATTTATCATTTTAACAATTTTAAAGTGTACACTTAGTGACACTTAGTAAATTCACAATGTGATGCATCCACTGTCATTACTGGTTCCAGAGCACTTCCACCACCCAAAAGGAAACCTGTGCCCAATAAGCAGTCACTCCCATCTCCCATCCCTCCCGCAAGCCCTAGAAGTCACCTCTGTCTTCTGTCTCAAAAGTTTTGCCTATTTTGGATATTCTGCATCATACAATATGCGAACTTTTGTTTCTGGCTTCTTTCAGTTAGCATAATGTTTTTGAGGCTACTTTCTCTTTACAGTTGAGTAATATTCCACTGTGTGCATACTCCTTTTTTTAAAAAAAAAATCCATTCATCAGCTGATGGGCATTTGGGCTGTTTCTACTTTTGGGGTATTATGAATAGTTACATGCCATTATCTTTCCCTTCCTTCAAATCAAAGTCAAGTTTTCATGTGAGCTTCAAATCAACTCTTACCTTCCCCACTCTAGGCTGGCCCAAAGTCCTCAGCTTGCTCTGAATTCCCTCACTTCTATTCCCAAGGTAGCAAATTGTCAACACATGGTAGAATCCTACAGACTTATTTAGGTTGACTCAAACTGTTTGCTTTCCTTAAATTAGTTGCTAACATAGGAAAACTCAAGGAAAATTATTCAAGTCAAGATTCCAGTTCCTTTAAAAACCTAGAAGGTCTGGCAACATCATCTCTTGCCTGGGTTATTGCAGTAACTGCAGATTAACTGGTCTTAGTGCTCTTACCCTTTCCCCCTACAGCCTACCTCAATACAGTACCCCCAATAGTTTCATTCAAACTGAAGTCAGATCGAGTCACTCCAGTACTCACATTCCAAAGTACAAGCCAAGGCCTGCATGCCCTAGTAGGCGGTGTACACAGGTCTTGTGCCTGTCTGCTTGTCTCCTCCCACTCTCCTGCGTGCTCACTCAGCTCTGCCTTCTCCTTTCCGTTGCTTGGACAACCTAAGCAGGCTCTACTTTAGGCCTTTGCACTGGATGTTCAATGTATCTCCAGAAAGCTCAGTGGTTCATTCCTTCATATTCAGTACTAAAATCTCACCTCAAAAAACCCGACCCTGACTGCCTTTACTTAAAATTGTAAGCCCATCCCTCATCAGCACTCCTAATTTTCCTTATCCTAACCTGCTATTTCTAACCAGTCATCATCATCTAGTATAATGAAAAATGTACTTACTTATTTCATTTGCTATCTATTATGTTTCCTTTCATTAAAAGGTAAGTGTCACAATGGCAGGGACTTTTGTTCCTTTGATTTCCTAATTAATTCCCATTGTCCAGAAGAGCACAATACATGGTAGGCATGCAATAACTATTTCTGAATGGATATTGGGCTTACAGTCAGCTGGCATTGAAAAGGGGCTGCCCTTTAGATTGGTCACATGATAGTTCCCCAGTTCCTCCCGCCCCATTTCATTCTTCTACCTGTTCGGTCCCTGCAGACATGAACTTGTGACACTTCTTTTTTCCCTGCAACCTTGTCATTGACTTCCTAGTATCATGTTAATCTTTTCATCAGGATAGTATTAAAAAAAAAGAATATCATAATTGTAGTCTATGGAAATCACCTATTATTTTCCATCTCAAAGATAATCCCTCTGCATATAGTAGAAGCTAAATAAATAGTTATGAACTAAAGTGCTCCCCTGGCATTTCTGTCAAATGTTTCTTCCTTACCTTTACCCCAAATCTCACCACTTCCAGCTGCTGACCACCATTAAGGAAAACGCTGATTCTCTTCTCTGGCACTTCCCAGACATTCCAGTTAGGGTCATCCTTTGAGATAACCTGAATGACCACAGAAGGATACCTACGCACTGCTACCGATCAGCTTTAGGACAGAAAAATGTAAGGACCTACTCTGAGGGTGGAAACTTCAGAGCTGCCCAGAGCTACTCTTCTAAACACTTAACTAGAACTGCCGCTCCTGTTTCCGTCTGAAACTATTATCTTTGCAGATGAATGTGCATATTGTCCAGAATGTTTCCAACTTCACTATACACTGAGTGGCCAATTATGATCTTTGGATATATATATTAGAGGCCCAGTGCATGAATTTGTGCATGGGTGAGGTCTGCCCAGCCTGGCCAGGGGGAGGGAACATGAGCGGTTGGCTGACTTGCCTGCTGGTCAAACTCCTGGTCAAGGGGACAATTTGCATATTAGCCTTTTATTATATAGGATATACACCAAGTGGACAGATTATTATGCGTAAGGAGATCATAATAATCTGCCACTCAGTGTAGCTGCAACCTGAATGAGGCATTGCATTTGTTATCTAAATGTGTAATCTGATCAATTTCTGAGGATAAAAATCCTTTGGTCTTTCCAGTTTGGATTCTGTTCCATTTTATCCTTCAATAACATGTGTTAAACCTCATCTTAACATGTAAGCCCCCTCATTGCCTTTAGGACATGGGAGGATGAATTTTTTATTTTATTTTATTAAAATTCCTCCAGGAAAAGTTTCATTCGATTTGATAGTTTTCCACACCTGGCACAACACTGCACAGCTGGGGTGCGGCAGAAGGACGTTGGCCAGGCAAGGGAGAGAAGCCCATAGAGGCTTGACTGCAGGATTTCTGTAACTTCACCAAGTGGTCGTTTAGTTGAAAGCTTAAAAGTGTTTTGTTTTGTTTTGTTTTTACCAATGTCCACAAAGTTTAAAATAGAACACAAAATTAAAAGAGCTTATGGAACACAAACACAAAGCATTTCTCCAGAATATTTTCCTCTTTTTCACATTATGTGAGACTTACCATCCCTCCTCCCCAAAGAGTAAATGCACAATGGCAAATATGCAGTAAGAAACAACTAATGGTGTCTGCTATTTTAGAAATGAGCACAGAGCCATCTGGCGGCTGGGCAAAGGTACTGGGCCCAGGAAGTATGTCTGAAGATCTGCCAGTTTACAATTTGCTTAGGACCTTCCTAGTCCTTAGCAGCTAGTTCTATGTTGCTTGTGGAGAGAAAACAGGAGCTGGGGAAAGTAGAGCTGGGCACAAACACAGAAGCATATCTTTGTACAAAGTCCTAAGAAAAAATAAGTATGGATTTTTATTGGGGTGAGGTGAAGGTTCCGATCTCCAAAGTCTTCCTATAATTTTAAAGAATGGAGGGAGATAGATTTAGCAGTTTTCATTTTGACCAACACCTAATACTATAATACTTTTGAATTCATTATCATTTCATGTTAGTGAGATCATATTCAGAGTTATGCTTAGAATTTGAAATTACTTCAATATTTTAAAGTTAAAAACTCTCATTCTTTGGTAAGACTTGCTCTATTATAGTCAGAAGCATCACATTTTTTTAGCTGTGCTATGCTGGAACAGCAGTTACCTTTTCTTTGGAGGGCAGGCCAAAACTCCTGATCCATTTATCAGGGGATCTTCATCTGCTATGACTGTGGAAGTGCTTTCTTCTTAATTCTGTTCAGATCTACAAACAGAGAAAAGGGGCAAAGGATTGAAACAATGGGTTAAGCTAATCAGAAATCTACAATCTCATTAGTTACCAGATGTTACAAAATTATTATATGTGCTTTGAAATGTCAAAGTGTTAAAATTCGAGACATTTTAACAATTTTACAACAAATGTAATTCAGTGTTTTTTTTTTTGTTTTTTACAATGCACTTAAGCAGCTATCTATAATAATAAAAGGGTAATATGCTAATTAGACCATATGTCATTCCAGATGAAGCCGGGACCAGAGAAAAGCCAGGTGTCTGCAGGCAGCTGGAGGGAAGCCAGAGTCCTGGGTGCCAGAGGGAACCTGGTGCGGTTAGCCAGGAGAAGGAAAACCTACTCTTGCATGAATTTTGTGCATCGGGCCTCTAGTCCTATATAATAAAAGACTAATATGCAAATTGACAGAATAGCAAAATGACCAGTAGCGAACTGACCACCAGAGAGCAGACACTCAATACTGGAGCTGACCCCTGGTGGTCAGTGCGCCCCCATGGGGAGAGCACCGCTCAGCCAGAACCTGGGCTCACAGCTGGTGAGCACAGTGGTGATGGCAGGAGCCTCTTCTGCCTCTGCAGCAGTGCTGAGGAAGTCAGGGATGAGTAGGCCTAAGCCATCAGTTGGCCATCCCCTAAGGACTCCCAGACTGTGAGAGGGTGCAGGCTGGGCCAAAGGACCCCTGAGTGCATGAATTTCATGCACTGGGCCTCTAGTATTTACAATAAACTAAGAAAAAATGACTATTTAATATGTACATAAAGAAAGCTCTTATGGCTTAAAGTCATTGTGTGTAATTTGCCACTAATGAGTTTTCACTTAATTTTAAAAATGGCTATTCAGAAAGCCTGCTAAGAAACCTGTCAGAATCACAGATTTTATAAAAAAAAAAAAAAAAAAAAAAATCCACACACACTGAGATTATTATATGAAGATGTCACTTTGTCCTTTTTCATCTAACAGTTTATAAAAGCAATGCATAATCCTACAAATAGGAAACAAAAACTCAATTAAAGCACTTTCCTAAAAAGCACAAGGAAATTATGTGTTTCATTATTTATGCATTTTTGTGCAATGTGTATATGTATTATACATTTCAAGTGGGATATAGCTATTATTTAAATTAATTTGGGAAGAATCACTGAGTTAAGAGTCAAGGAACTAGAGATTAAGAAACCAGTTAGAAATTTAACTGGTTTTCAAGTTTGACTTGCAGAAGAAGAGAGAGAGCAGCAAATATGGGCAATGACACAGCTATGGAGCAGATGCTAAAGTATAAAATTTCACCAGTAATACCATTCTCTTCCTATAGTCCTCACTGGCTATCACCAAGGTCATGTGACAGGAATATTGCTTTGATTAACTTTTATTTTCATAACTCTGAGATGGTAAGCCAAATATTTCTATCATTTGAAATATTAATAAAGCATCTTACAAAGTCAGTGGCTGAAATTCTATACCATGTCATAATTGACTTTAGTAGATTTTAAGTTATTCCTGGTTCACATCCTTCTACTCCCCTTTCTTTAAGATAGTTTCAATTTTATTCACCCACAAACTGTTATTCAGTAATGTAATCAATCATTCAGCAAAGCAATCATTCCTACAATCTTATAAGCCAGATGTTTCTCTTCCCTAGATTTGTACTTATTTCCCAGCCCCTCATCTTTTAAAACTTTTCTCTGATTTCCATTTTAGTATTTCTTTTCTGCTTTATTGCCAATAAAATCAACTATTTTATTTAACACGTCTGTCCAGAGCCTTTGCATACTAAACATTGAATAACTATGCCACAATCATTCAACAGCTACAAATCACCAGAATAGAGACAGCCAATAAAGATGTTATGTTATATCCCTGGCCAGGTGGCTCAGTTGGTGGGAGCACAGTCCCTTACACTAAAAGGTGGTGGGTTCAATTCCTATCATGGCACCTACCTAGGAAGTGGGTTCCATTCCTAGTCGGGATGCATATGAGAGGCAACTTTCTCTCTCACTCTTTTCCTTTTCCACCCTCTCGAGAACCAATAAAAAACATATCCTTGGGTAAGAATTAAAAAAAAAAAAAAAGGTTATTTTAGAGATAACCATTCACCTGGATGATGGTGATTCCTTTAGAGTACACTTGAGGTGGAGGTGGAACAAAACTGGCATCAGATTAGACTGTGTGCTTGATCTTATTTCACTGGGTCAAGTTATTTTTCAGTTTTCCATCAGGACATTCCAGCTATATTTTCTAAGTATCCAAGGAAGTTATCAGATTTTAGATGCCTGAAATTGTGCCCAAGATAGTATTTGTCATTTAAAAAATTCACCATTTTCCAGCCTGCATACTTTAGAAATGCTTTAAGAGAAACCCTATTCTTAGAGGAAAATGGTAGTGGCAGTTACTAAAAATAAGCAGTTAAAAATAGTAACTTCTCTACTTAGAATAGGGGATCAGAAATCTTTCTTTCATAGGGAAAAAAAGCTATCATATGTTTGCATATGTTCTTTTTATCTTCACGATGACACTGATCAAAAGAGCTGTTATGATAATTTCCATACTACTAGTGGAACAAACAAACTAAGAGAGGTAATTATTTGCTCAAGATTACCCAGCAAATAAATGGTTTGAAACTGGAACTAGAACCCAGGCATTTGGTGTTATTTAGTTCCCTTTCCAGTACACCAAACTGCCTAAACAGCAACTCTGTTTTACAAAGAGAAAGAGACAAGAGTTTAAAAGGTAAACTGGAGAACACTAAGACTAGAAATATAAAACTTGATAGCTTTTATTTGTTCACCAATCTACTATGAAATTACCTGAAATTTAGCATTCAATAAATATAATTTCCTAAAATTTAGCATTCAATAAATATTTTGTTGTTGTTAATCCTCACCCAAGGATGTTTTTCCATTGACTTTTAGAGAGGGTGGATGGGAGGGAGAGAAACACACACAGAGAAACATCAATATGAGAGAGACAGATCGATTGGTTGCTTCCCGAATGTACCCTGATCAAGCCTGCAACTAAGATATGTGTCCTTGATCAGAACTGAACCTGGGACCTGCAGGCCAATGCTCTATCCACTGAGCCAAACCAGCTAGGGAAATAAATGTAATTTTTTAAAGATTTTAAAAAAATGTTCAGATGTTGCCGGAACTGGTTTGGCTCAGTGGATAGAACGTCGGCTTGCGGACTGAAAGGTCCCGGGTTCGATTCCGGTCAAGGGCATATACCTTGGTTGTGGGCACATCCCCAGTAGTGGGTATAAAGAGGCAGTTGATCGATGTTTCTCTCTCATCCATGTTTCTAACTCTCTCCCTTCCTCTCTGTAAAAAAATCAATAAAATATATATTTTTTTTAAATGTTCAGATATTGGAGACAAGGAAACAATGGAAAAAAGGATATAACTTGAATATTCTTCAAAGTCATAAGATAAATTTTGTACTCTTTTTTGGGGGGCAGGGACATAATTGTAGAAAGTGCCCCAGAGTTGCTGCCTAGCCCGTGGCAACTCTTTTCTCAGCACTATGTAGTTCTCAACCCCATGCCAAGTTATATCTGCACTGTGGACTCCAAACGCCTATTTTGGCCAAAGCTGGACACATAACACAAAGTGAGATTCAATTTGTTACCCTTGAAATTAGAAATTGGAACGAAGAGGGTCTATTCTGGTCTATCGGCAAGCACCCCTGTGTGCTCTTATCTACAGGAAAGAGCCAGTCAGCAAAGAGGGAAGAATAAATGTGCTGCTCAGAGTGAATGGAACCCAAGAGCCCATGTAGCCCCAGAGAGAACAAAAAATGGGTTCTTGTCCCAAGTCTAGGCTCCCAGAGGCCCAAACGCTTCCTCCTATAGGTCTCAACAACCCCTGGGACCTGCCTGCAGGGCAAGTGGTTCCCTCTTTGGAGCTTAAAAGATTTGGAATTGATTTCTGCAACAATAATCTTCCTCAAGACAGCTAAAACTCTTGTATTAAAAAATAAGAGGATAGATACCACTAGCTTTTGTTATAAAAGAAGATACAGGGGAATGCCCAAAAGTTCAGAAAAGACCTCTCATTACCTTTAGACACAGAAAAGCCCAATGCTATATGGGTAGAGTTAGATTGCTTTTTACAGAGAAAACGACGTGCTTTCTAGGAGTAGCATCTCTGTTTTAAGACTCTGAGAGCCTTGTTGCAATTTAAGTAACAATCTGGAATATTTTTGTTGTAATAGAGTCTGTAAAAATTAAGCAAAAACCTACAAACCATGACAAAGGAAAGGGAAAAAACAATAGACTAACCCGAGTCAGTCTTATTTTTAAGCACATCAGTACAAACTTTCTTTTATTTCTTAAGCTTTCTTCAACTCTAGGCAAACTATGGAACTTTAATGTGAGAATGACACCTGGTGCTTAGAGAGGCATGACAGGGAAAAGTCTAGAGAGGTGGGCCCTACAAGGAGGGCAACACAAGCTTTGACTTGATTCTCTCTTCTAGGGTAGAGCTGAGGGAAGGCTACCTCTCTCCACTCTACATGAAAAGGCGGAAAACCAAGAGGTTTCCTGAGCTGGCCTATTGGTCCAATAGCACTGCTGAGCGTGAGCACCATGATAGGTGCTGTGCTCGGCCCTAGCGTCAGCAGTGTGTTCAGCTGAGCTGCCTAACACCTGCTATGCATTCTTCTCTCCACTCTTTGACCCTCACTGTAAACAAAGTCCAGAGAACTAAAATAGTTCACTTTTTTTTTTTTTTTGTCTCTTTGCTGATCTTAAGGACAAAAAGAAATGTGTTGCTAATATTTTAAAGGTGGGAAGATTCACAGAAAATTCCATATTCCTATTTTCCCTTGAAATGTCCAAAAATATGGCCAGCTCTCCTGCATGGGGACAACTGGCTGATGCTGTATCCCGCGGCCTCTCGTCATTGGGCAAGTACCTTCCAA